TTCGTATGTTCATATATGTAGGGAGTTTTTTGATGTATTGTCTTTTTTGGGGATATCTTAGTAGAATGTAATATTCTCATTGTACCATGAGTGGTTCTCGGTTCTCTGCTCGGGGATTCTTAGTGTAACTATTGTCATGTGCACAGAAAATTATAATATGTAAACTAAACTTTATTTTTTTTTATTTATTTATTGTCATAAATATATACATCATTATTAAATATACAAAATAATAAAGCCAAAAACACAATAATTTAAATAAACTATTGTGTTTTCGGCGTATTATTATTACTCACGTAATAATTTGGCGAGGAACTCGACAATGTTTTATAATAACTATCGTGAGACATACTAAATTAAGTAAAAACGCGGGTTACTTACGTGGATATACTGAGAAAAGCTCATACAACAACATAGTGAGCTGCGCGACGTCACCGCGACCGCGCACGCTGCTCATGAGGAAGAACCCCTCTGTGGTTCGAAACTAGTAGAGCTTTTCTAAACTAAATTTTCTAAGAAAAATTTTCTGAGCTAAATTAGGAACTCGACAAGTTTCAAGCCATACTAGAGGCTCATATCCATGAGCAGCATTTCGCGACCGGTGACGCGGCGACTGTCGCGCTGCTACTGTCAGTAGCTTGAAACTAGTCGAGTTTCTCGTCAAATAATTACCTACGTGAGTAAGCCAAAAACAGAATAATTTAAATAAAGTTCAGTTTACCTATTATAATTTTCTAGTTATTTAGTATGTCTCACGAAAGTAATAATACAAATAAACTTTATTTGCTCGAAGTTGGTATAGAATTAGGTATACAACGCTAACGTAGCTAACAAAAAACAACAAGAACAAAATTGGTTCTTGTCAGAGATGTCAGAGACAGACCCAAGACACGTCAGAATAAAACACTAGTGTAATGTAATTAGCATTTAAAATCAATCAAACAACTTAGACACCTACACTTAACAAACAAAACGCAATCTACAATTAAAATAACACCTTATGAAACACGCAATTCACCTCACAATCCTATATCACAGCATCCATTACAAGTGGCATTGTAGACAGCATTAATACCTCCATAACATGACGCTGCATCAGATGATAAAGTGAGCTACTTCAATGAAGGACCCTTGTTGCTAAGTAATGGAGACGGCGGCGTTAACGTTTAAATGTTTTGGTTCATATTTGTACGTGTTCATTAATAAAGTTGAGATAAATCATACTTTACGTGTTAATTGATAGTGTGGTTGTTGTGTTTCAAGTGTAGATCTCATAGTTGTTATGTAAAATGCGAATGGAAATAAACAAATAAATACTGATATCCAGCCTGGCTTGAAATTTAGTGTTGACCTTAAAACATTGATACAATAATCAGGAGTAAAAGAAAAAGATGAAATAGAAAAGATAAAGGGAATAACATTCGCGGAGAACCTAACGGGTTACCGGGGCTCCGGCTTGACGTGCAGGAGAAGGAACGGGGTGGTTTTTAGTCAGTAAGAGTCTGACACTCCCTCCCGCCCCACTCAGGCGGGAGCAGTCATTCGATGATATTCTCCCCTTAAAAAAGGCAATAACATTAAAACTTTTTATTTTTCAAAATAAGTAAAGCAAAACATAATTACCGTAACTACCTACTAACTACTCTCTATTGACGTCGATGCGGACGGATTTTTTGATGCTCGGTGTAAATAGTTTTTTTTTTATTTTTTAGTTATCTTAGTGTATCTTAAGTTGTACATATTTATTGAAATTTTCTTTTCCTTGTATTGTAAATATCTTAGGTTTAATAAAAATTAAAGTTTCAATTCTATCTGACTAATAAAATGATTCCTTTTATAATGAAAAAAAAATAACTCATTTACAGATGCAACATCCATTTTAATTTTCCAAATCCAATTAAGAATTCCTTTGACAGATTCTAGCCTAGTATTTAACTAAAAGTCTATTGAAACAAATTGTATTAGTTCATATTGACCTCTGGTATAACAAATTAAGTCCATCTAATATTGTCTAACACTAGTTCAAAGTAATTAATAAAGAAAAAAGTAGTTAAGTTACATTTATGTAATAGAAGCTTTAATTAAAAGAGTATAATTAGTCTTCAGTGGCAATTTTTGTGAAAAAATATCATCGCGCGAAGATACTTACTAGGAGCCGTAGATTTTAAATTAGTACGAATTAAAAAGCTCTGAAAACATCTGAAATGAGGTAATTATGAATGATAAATTCGAGTTTTTATATATTTTTGCTGGCAATATAAATTTTGTCGCAGATGCAAACATTTTTGTTGAAGTTTTATTAGTTGAACGAAAAATTCTTTATGACAAAGGAAGAAATTGTAATGATAAAAGATTTCAAAGTTAACAATAGGCAACATATTCTTTACAGATATTCTATCAATCTTTATTCTTCTAAGCCTACTAATAAAGCTAATAAGTATTTCAAACTTAAAGACGATAAAAACAAATCCAAATAAAACGATCAAAAAACAAAACTTAATTAAAAATCCTTTTGATATCTTGCAAAGAGTGAAAAATAAAATAAATGAAAATAACATTAATTAAGCAGAAGATTAATTATAAGTTAAAATATTATTCGTTACAGATAAAGGCTCTCACTAGAACGAAATTAATTTCGAGTATCCATTAATTTTGTAACAAACAAAGTACTAATTTTACCCCGAAAATTTGTTACTAGACATTGTTATATCAATTTTCATAAATAAAAGGGACAGGGTTATTAATTTTATAGCCTTATTGAAAGGAAATATATAGTGGTTTGGAGATTTATTGGGTTAAAGCTTAGAGCTTGAGGGCTCCTTCGACGAATTGTAATTATTATTTTCTGATGAAACTTTCATATGTGAGAGAGATTTAATACAGAAAGGTTATTCCAAAATCAAAATTTTAAGACTTATTGGATTCAAAATAGGTAGGTATAATCATCACCCACAATTTGAGGAGCACTCATAAAAAAACTGATTGATGAATTGAACAAAATTTTATGTCATTTTTTTATATTTCAATGCTAAATAATAAACTACAAATCACTTCAAAATTAAACAAAAAAAAACAGTAACACAAACAAAAAACAGTAACGAAATAACAAACCAAATCTGAAACCGCTTCAGACGAACACATAGAGATAAGGTATAGGTTTCAACATACCTACACATACAGACGTAAATTACGAAGAACATATTACAAGGTACATTAGTAACATACTTGATAATGAAAGCGTCGTGCATTACAAAGCAGACGTTGTAATAATAGATAATGATGTTACTTCAGGATTAATTTCTGAGAAACTACAAATAAAGGGCAATGGTACTGATGATTGCGTTATTCGCAGAGTAATCTACTCTTTGTGGACCTGATTTTGTTAGCACAATTTTGTTTTGTTAGAGAATGATGGAGATGAATTATTATGCTTAATGTGTTGTTTTGTCTTTGATGTTTTAAGTGGTAATGGAGAAACAGATTTTGAGTGGTTATTTTAGAAAGTAATGTTGTATATTTTAACAAGTTATTTAATTAATGAGCTAATGTGGTTGCTAGTTCATTAGTAACTTTCATTTGTAATTAGAAAGTGTACGGTTAGAAAAAATTTCGGAAAATAATCTCGGTTTCATACTATTTAAGTTTGAGTCTGAAAATTTGCAAAACATCTATTTCTCGTCCTCCCTTTCAATTTTTGAAAAACTTCCCTTTATTCTGATCATGGTATCATGAAGCAAGAGAATAGACATTCGAATAAAATATAACAGTTTCGACTTGGAAAATTCAAACAACCTAGAAAACCTTATTTAGGAAACGGTAGCGAAAACTGTTTCTAAATCCACAAAGTACTTTTCGAGATTAGCCAGAATATACTGCATAGTACCGTCGACTTTACTTCTACTATCTTGTACATACCCCCAAATATATGCATGTGTGCGAATGCATTTCAACAGCAACCCTCTTGGGGAATACAACACTATTTCTATATTTTCCATCCCCCACTTCTATTACACACAAGAGCAAAAAAACAAAGAAAAACATTCGCAGAAACGAATGTTTGAAAAGTTCGTATTCTGTGAAACATTTCGTCAATGTAGGTTCATGTTAATCCCTGTTTAAAATTCAAAGAGCCTGCGGCCCACTGCAGTTCGAGTAAATTAAATAGAAGACCCGGTGACTTGGCGGGATGAGATGTAAATTCTGTACTGTTGCAACTATAGTGGGAGGGGGGCAAAAACTAATTTGCGCTTTTTAAAACGCTTGAACTTGGAATCGTGGATCGGTGAGAAATGGTCTATTTAAATGAAATAGTTGCTCACACCGTAATTCTAAACGATTAATCGATTTCGTTTTGTTTGTATTAATTTGCTTTGTTTAACATTATTGCTTGTAATGTTTTTGCTCTAAAAGTGAAAATTGAATTTACAAAATGAAAGTTCTGAGTAAAAATTTATTTATTTTTGTATGTGTCTGCCATGAAAGACACGTTTTTTATTTACTGGAGGAGCAGACAAAGGCACACACGTAGGTAATTTAATACAGCAGCTCCTATTTGCTAGTTATGTCATTTGTTCCATGTACTATAATGGAGTACAACTACACAGCTTCATTATTATTGAATAACATGCATGAACTTACAGTTCAAGTTTTTATGCATGATCTTATTCCATTACCTACATTCGGCGAAGCAAACATTATTTTTGATTAAATACTTATGATTGGTCAACATTTTAGCGTAAGACATACTAAATTGTCTAAACTGAGACTAAACTAAACTGAGAAAAGCTCTGAAGCGAACTCTGCTCATGAGGAAGACCGCCTCTGTGGTTCGTAACTAGGAGAGATTTTCTCAGTATATTTAGTTAACTTTTTATCGATTAAAGCCAGTCAAAATAAAGGAATAAGCTGGTGCATACCTGGTTACGTAGTTATCGAAATAGACAGTACCTAAGTGTCAATATTTTATTATTAACGTTTGTCAATATCATTTTTGTTCTCAGGTCGGTTGGCTTCGAGCAGAAGACCAGACAGTCTTATCCCTCAACGATCGAGTGGTCCTCAGTCCTCGGTATTCCGTAAACTTGGACACTCCCAGCACTTGGCAGCTGAGGATCAGACCTCTGAGGGCAGAGGACCGTGGCTGCTACATGTGTCAGATCAACACGCAGCCCAGCATGAAGTGGCAGATTGGGTGCATCGATGTTTATGGTAAGTGGAATTTGAACTTTAATTATTTATAAATAGAATAGGTTATTGCATCTTCTTTCAATAACTTTAAGAATTGCTTTACAGATAAAATGATCAAATTAGAGACTAAATTGAACTTACAAGAATGACTAAATATATCAATTTCTTTAATTCGCAAGAAATCTCAAATGAGTGTCAAAAATAGAATTCAATTATTCAAATTACATTAATCTCCCTGAAAAATATTTTGAAGCTTTCATGTGTCCACTTTAATCTGTTAGTGCCCACTTATTAAGTGTCGCTTAGAAAATCCTTTGTTATAAACGAACCCGTTTAGTTTCCATCAAAACGTGGACGCCCTTAAGACTTTTAATTAAAAACGTTTTAGTATTTATTATCTTCGGACTCGTAAATTAAAGGAGAAATGGTTGCTCTTACACAGACTAATATCTAAAAGGTATAGCCGTTAAGAACTTAAGCAAATTACACAACAACAAATAGAAAAACTTCTAAAACAAGGGATTTTTTAATAAAAAGCCCCGAAACGAATGATTGTAAGCGAGTAATAGGTAAAAATAAAAGAGGAAGTCTTAAGCTTATTAAGGATAGGAGACAGATCCGAAGCTTCAAAACATCTCAAAGTACTTACGACGAACTTAGAACAAAATTCAATATCAATGAAACGTCTCGAATGAACGCTGGAAAAGTATTTTTCTTCAGAAAAATAAATCACCTTAAAAGAAGTTAACGTTATTTCTACGCGCCATTGAAGGTGGGCACCAACTTTTATCGTTTGCAGCTCAAATTAGTTCTAGGAGGGGGGGGGGGGGGGTATTCTTTTTTTTTCAATCCTCAAGTTTTTGAAGTATGGATTTCAATATTGAATTTTTACTATGTCTCTGGGGGGACGCCCGTAACTTTTAGGGGGACGAAGAATTTAATATGTAACATCGCGCCGGTAGTCACCGGGGATTTCTTTTACAAAAGTATAAATGAAATATTAGGAAGTATGGGCGAGATGAAATTACTTCGATAGGTAACATTTCCATTAGACGGAATTAAGATTTGAAGATTTTTGGACCGTATAAATGATAACGCTTTGAATTTTAAAAGAAATATTTTTTGGTGGATAAACCGGTATACGAGCGTATGACCTGATGGTAAGCCAGTGCCTCACATGGACACCCGAAACACCAAAGGCGTTACAAGTGCGTTACCGGCCTTTTGGGGACTAGGAATTTGAGGATTGATGGGGATTCAGGGATTGGGGAGATTGGGGAAGGGGGGTAATGTTTTGTTGTAGCTTGCTTTCTATTCAATAGATCTGAAACAGCTCAAACCAGACTGAGTTTAAGACTCATAAAAACACATATTCACTCAATCAAATAAATAAAATCTTCACAGACGGTCGTCATTGACATCTGGTGAAAGGTAGAAGCTCTGTTCAACGAAGCAAAACTGTTAATTGTTCTGATTCAATCTATTAAGAGCCAAAAACAACTTTTAGCCAGACGCTTCAAGTTTCATCGCTTTGAGTATTCGACTGAGTTGATGGCTATCGATTTTGGTCCCAGTTTTGTGATTCGAGAATCAAGTAGGCATTAGAGAAAAAGGTAAAATATAATTTATATAGAACCAAACTATCTACGATTTGTAATATAATATTTGTGGTGATAATGTAATGGTGGTGGTCTAATGTACCTTTTCACACGTTTTACTATCTCTTTAACCAACAACGTGTTTTGCAAAGGATCATTACAATACATTCGACTGCACGGTTAGTGCGGTGGCTGGGCAACCGCCTGCCGTGCAACGTGTCGCAGGTTCGATTCCCCCATGGAACAACACTTTGTGTGATCCACAAATTGTTGTTTCGGGTCTGGGTGTCATGTGTATGTGATTTTGTATGTTTGTAAATGCACCCACGACACAGGAGAAAATCCTAATGTGGGGCAACGTATATTTAATAAAAAAATACATTGTATTGGTAGATAAAGATCGATATTAACAGTCACTGAATAAGTACTAGTTTTGTATTATATTCGTATAGTTGTCAATCGAATATGATATCTCAAGCAATAACTATACAACTCAAAATACTTTAACTACATCAAAACTGTACAATGACAAAATTACACATCTTTTGTCACAACTTTAAATAATTCTAAAATGATTCATGCGAAATGAAAAGTACACTCGAGCACACACAAGCATATTTAAGAGTACCTGAGACCAGCACAGACTTGCAAATCTATGTGGAAAAATACACTCGCGCACAAAATTGCTTGCGATTCGCCTTCCATATTCCAGTGACATTTTTACGAATTTTTCACATGTATTGGACACTGGACACTTTGGTTTTTCGACAGTTATTGTTTCTTTTTCGTATACGCCGCGAAAAATAGGGAATATGGTTGCCTTTATTTACTTTTAGGTTTTGATCTGTGGAATGAAACCGGTTTTATTGACCTAATAATAATTATTTTGTGCAACCGCATTATTTACATTTCAACGAACTGGAAACGTAAATGGAATTTCATTTGATTCGTAATCTTACCTTTGATGTCTAATTTCTACCCCCTATTACAAGGGACTCGTAACATAAATTAAATAAATGAAAAGTGGGTGGTACATTATACAGTGGCATTGAGCGCTGTAATGTGCACCTCTGCCTACCCCTTCGGGGATAAAAGGCATTATGTAATGTGATGTTTAATTTCTTTCTCTTGTCCACAGTTCCTCCTGACATAATCAATGAAGAGACGTCAGCGGACGTGTCAGCTCAGGAGATGGACAATGTGACCCTGCTCTGCAGAGCCTCAGGGCACCCTCCTCCGAAGATCACTTGGAGAAGGGAAGACCACGAGCCTATGCTGTTAAAGAAAGTTGGCAGTAGGGATTTTTACAAAGGTAACTGAAAAATGGATTTCCTATTTTTTTTTATGGCTTAAGCCGGTATACGAGCAGACGGATCACCTGATGGTAAGCAATCGGCGTCGCCCATGGACACCTGGCACACCAGAAGCATTACAAGTGCGTTACCAGCCTTTTGGGGATTAGGAGTTTGAGGATCGTTGGGGATTCAGGAATTGGGGAGATTGGGGAAGGGGAGGGTAATTGAGCCTCCGGTAATCTCACTCACACGACGAAACACAACGCAAGCGTTGCTTCACGTCGGTTTTCTGTGAGGCCATGGTATCACTCCGGTTGAGCCGGCCCATTCGTGCCGAAGCATGGCTCTCTCACACTTAAATGTTTATATGCTTAAATAATGCGAGAAGACGCCTTTGGTCAGCAGTGACCATTTATAGGCTGTTGATGTAAGTGTTTTTGGGGTAGTATATACATAATAAGTTTTGATAGATATTATATGTAAAGCATTACGTATTATTTTTGTATCAACCGATGGTTGATTCGTAAAAGTGCTGGCTAAAGTGTAGGGTATTGTTGTATATTGAAATCTACCTTTTAATTGTACTAGCCAAATATTTTATTTCAATTAGTTGAGTAATCTTTTCAAATATCAGCTAGATCCATCGCCCACTAGTTTTATTTAGATTCATTGGAATTTCGTTTCGAAGCTACTTGAACAGATATTCGAAAATAGAACACTACGAAAATAGTCTAGTTAAAAGGGAGGTACTCTATATAGAATTGAATAGAAAAAATGCTCTACACAAAATCTCATATGATTCTTAATGTATTGAAATTTGGTCTTTACAAAGAGCTTTTAGGAAAATAAAAAATACGCTATACGTATTAGAAGAGGGAAATCTCGAGAGCCAGTGGTCCGGAACATTGCTTAGCTCAGGAACCTTGGAGTCACCAGAATGGGAAAACAAAAGAAATCATTTGTCACGATACTATTGGAAAAGTTTTTGGAGCGAACCGCGCTTTGATCACGAACGTTTTCATTTCAAAGTTATTTTTGGTTGGGGATTTGAAAATCGCCCTGATATTTCCTGACAGGTTTGGCATTTATCATTTTAATATGGCTCGAGTTTCCATGTCAGATTGTCTCGTTACCGATTTTGATGACGAGATAATTGAACTGATTATAATTATAGCAATCCACATAGACTAAGACAAGTCTAGGAATACTTTGTAATATCCATTCTTCAATATAATTTACTAAAATTCTGATCGTCTGTAACCATTGTGATTTTAACTGTAATTAAAACAAAACAGAGTTCATTTTAGATAAAACCAGCATGTGATTCATTTCCATCTCAATTTAGAATAAACTAAACTTGATTATCTGCTACAAGCCTGCATTTGAATCGTAGGTGCTACTACGCCGCTACGCCGCACCGTGCCGTAGCTACAAGTATGCCGCGTAGACAATATGGCTACACGCCTGGGGCGGAGAACGATGCGGTTGTAGCAGTTGCTTTTTCGTTTATTTTTAGAAGGCTATACCTTGATTTTTCGGAATAAAACAAAAGGAAACGGAAGTAAATATCCTAGTTTTGGAGCATAGATATTTCCGTATTTTTGGCTAGTTCTGAATGGAAATATTTGATTAAATGTTTTTCTTCGAGATCAATCAAGATATTGTAGATGTATATGTTGGTGATGATGTATATGTTGTCGTTTCTTTGTGTTTTTTTTTCTATATCTGTATAAATAAGTGTATTTATTTGTTCTTTTCTTTTTTAATTTTGTATTTTTTTGTATCTGTGTGCGTGCCTACTGCCGAATAAATGATTTTTCTTTCTTTCTTTCTAGATTATTTACTACATTGGACTCACATTGAGCAGCTGTCTTTACTTTCTATTTCACACACTTGCTCTTAAAATTAACATATCTCTCATAGCAACAATTCTACAATCACATAACTAAACAACTACCAAATACAATTATCGACATTAATTCTCGAAGTCATTCGTTATTTCGCTCCATATAATTTCGATGTTCCTTAACAAGAGTACCCTTTGCCCTTTTATTAATAACATAGTACTGGAAATGCTAATCCTCCTGTCAACCGTATTGATTACTATTGAGCGTAGGAGGGGAGTTTAGTGAGGAACAATCATGTACCTCTTTGTATTGTAATCTTATTATCGAAGTTTGATGAAAGAGGGTTGATTTGTTTTGATATTTTGTCATGGCTTTTGATCTCCAAAAGGGTTGACAGAGGTGCACAAATATGTGCGTACATAATATAGTACTCGTTTTTTTCCAGCTTTGGTAAAAGTCAGATGTAATGGTGTCTGTAAGTGATTGATAGGTAGGTACAAATAAAAGCGAAGTGTTTCTCTGGGTTTGCATACTAGGTCTTGTATAGTAGTCAAGTAAAAAAGATGCGATAATCGTCGCGCTGATGAAAATAATAAGGAGGGTCGAAAAATCCCAGAAATACTTTACTCTACCCGGTGATCAAACCCGGGACCCCTTCCTCCATGAAGCCATTTGCTCAGAGAGTCAGTCTATTATTAGTGTTTATAATGTGTAATTATTTATGTTGTTTAGTGGAGAGCTACGTGGGCAGTTCGCTGCCGCTGTGGCGCGTGGACCGCCGGCAGATGGGCGCGTTCCTGTGCATCGCGGCCAATGACGTGCCGCCCGCCGTCAGCAAGCGGATCATACTTAATGTTAACTGTAAGTATTATTATTTACAACTTTAATATTAACTCTCTTATTACGAGTGCCTCGTTGCTCAAATGGTCGCACGTACGACTGCTGGGCAAGGGATCTCGGGTTCGATAGAGAGAGATATTCGAAAGAGTGTCTACTGCATGGCTTCAGTTATTTATAATAGGATACCTAAGGGTTGGAAGGAGCTTCCGCTACATTTATTTAAAAAAAAAATCCGAAGCTTTTTAGTGGCTAAAGCATATTATAGTTTGCCTGAGTATCTGAATGGGAAGGATTTTTTTTTTGTAAGTGCTTGAATTGAAAACTGTGTTCCTAATTTATGGTCTTCTTTTTTTGTTTATGTTTTTTCTTTTTATTGGGTTGTTTGTCTTCAATTGTAACATATTATCCAATGCATTTTACTATGTATATCATTTGCATGCTTAAATGGTAAAATATGGCTGAACCTGTATTTTTATGTCACCTGTAATTGTTACCCATATTTGCAAAATAAAAGTATCTATATCTTTATCTTTATCGATTCCCGGGTCAGGCAAAGTATTACTGGGTTTTCTAAAAATTCTCAGTAGTAATACAGAGTTTAGAACTGTGCACGGTATATGGCAATAGGCTCACCCCCTATTACATAGCATAAATAGTGAAAAGTGGATGTTACATTGTACAGTGGCATTAAGTGCCGTAATGTGTATCTCTGCTTACCAAGGATAAAATGCGTGATGTTTTGTGTCTCTTATAAGAAACTAACTCTCTTATTCCTTTACGTACCTTCACTGACGGACTGACTGATAGACTAGTATTTATTTTGCATTTGTTGACGTTTCAAATTATGGTTTAATTGAAGTAAATGCTTTTTGATTTTATTGAAAATATAATGTATAATGTACTCAGTAATCAAATATAGCGCTTATTCCATTTACTTATTGATTTAATGATTAATGTCGGAATACTCATACTCAATTTTAAATCGCGCTTAAGTATAGTTCTGTCTCTACAAATTGTTTGTAAAATGTCAGAGACGGCACGATATTTAAGAACGACTTAAAATTGTCAAAGTCAAAGTCAAAAGTCAAAATCATTTATTTCAATTAGGCCAGAATGGCACTTTTGAACGTCAACAAAAACAAAAATTTAAAGTGAAGCTATTTGCTCATTCCAAGGCGTAGATTCCTATGGAGAAGAACGAGCAAGAAACTCCATAGGTTACTCTTTTTCAATCAGGTTCACAATACAATTTACTAGTTACATAGTTTTGCTGTTTGGATTGTGCGAGAACAATGTAACACTAAAATCCAGTCAAAGTGATCAAAAAAGAAAATAACCTTAAGGACAGTAATACAGTCTGGAGCTGACCAGTCCCAATTGACGGCGCCCGTTCACGAACATGACACGTACACCAGCACCGCCCAACTCAACCATATTGTAGGGAATCGAGCGATCCACTGCACGCGCCACCGCCAATGAGACCTTTGAGTGAGCATGACAACTCCAAGCTGACACAAATGAAATCTACTAATCTAATTTAATATTAAGTTAATTACAGGGCTCTCACATTTACAATGGTTATCTAAGTTAAACAATATACAATTTAGCAATATGGCTGTATTATTTACGATTTCATTAAAACAAGTGTTTTTAGTTATCCTGTGGAGCCGGACTAGCCTGCATCCATGCATTTTTATCCTCTATATTTTCATTAAGTTTGTAATATGCATAAAGTTTTCTTTATACATAATTTAAATTTAGATTCAATTAGTTGTTGTACATCGCCTGGTATCTTATTATAACATTTAACACAGAATCCCATGAACGACTTACTTACTTTCGCTAATCTCGAAATTGGCTGACTTAATCTATTCTTATGTCTAGTTTGATAGTGGTGTCTGTCCGACACTTTACCAAATAACTGTAGGTTTTTCCTAACATACATAATGTTTTCATAAATAAATTGACATGGAACGGTCATAATGTTGATCTCCTTAAACCTTTCTCTGATTGATTCGCGACGACCTAGATTGTAGATAGCTCTGACGGCGCGCTTTTGTAAGATAAAGATAGACTCAATGTCAGCAGCGTGTCCCCACAGCAAAATGCCATACGACATAATGCTATGAAAGTAACTGAAATACACTAGTCTTGCCGTGTCTATGTCAGTTAACTGTCGTATCTTCCAGACAGCATAAGCTGCAGAGCTCAATCGTCCCGCTAATGATGTAATGTGAGGAGGATTGAGTAACGTTTCAGTATTCCGGCATAAATAATTCTGATTGCAATTTCCCTAAATATTGTAACAAATGCATTAATTTTTAAATTACTACATGGAGTACCTCACCAAATTACACGTTCTCATCTTTGCTTAAAACATCACCACTTATAAAAAACAAAAAAGAACATAAACAATAATTTAGGTTGCTTATGGGTAGACGTACTCCATCGTAGACCGCATCATTGCTTACCACCACGTGAGATAGTTGTCAAACGTCGATCCAACAAATAAATAAAAAAAAAGTCAGACCCAAAACAACCTCATAACATTTGATTAGAAATCAAATTCCATCGCCATCTAAGTAGGTATAATGAGAAAAATAATATTCGAAAATCACAACATAAACGTAAAGTTCCGAGAAAATGTTATATTTCGAATAAATTATTTAATATTCGTATAACGAAGTTGATTATAAGGAAGATAACGAGTCGTTCTTACCGTTTGTCTGTAAATAAGGTCGAAATGAAACAAATTGAGCGACTCTCACCTTTGCTTCCAATACAATTAGACGATTATTCCTCTTGCCTACCTTCGTATAACTAAACTGATGGTTTAATTTATGAGAGAAAGCGAGTTATAGGCTATTGTAATTTTTTTTTTTGTATATATTGTCTTACAGTTTGTATAAATATGCAATCTTAGGACGATTTTTCATGATATCAAAATTAATACTTTATACCTCATAACAAAATAGTCGATAATAACATCAGTAGACAAGCAAGGTACTTTTTTAATGGGAAAAGCCCGCGACAACCTCCTGAAACCGCTGCAACTCCTGTAAGACAAGGTGTACAGTAAATACAACCATGAAAACACCGGAACATAGAAGTTCAGCGCGTCCCAGAGACATGAATAACTTGAAGGTCTTGGTTCCCGCAACAAAATAAATCAGAAAATATTATACGAGGAGATGAAAAGAAACGATAGTTTCGACTTCCCTCGGTGAATTTGATGAAGCTAGTAACTGCTACACGTGCTCTAAAATACCATGCAAAAAAATCGAACGCTTGTCGATTCGCAAGCATGCTCGAATTAAGCCAGCTAATTTTAAGCAACACTCCGGTACATATATTACTAAGTAACAAGTGCTCAATTGAAGCATGCTTGCGTGCTTGAAATGAGCATGTGTAGCAGTACCTTACATAATCACTTGATCCCGAAAATTGTTCAAACAATAGTAATCTCTAAACATCAGAAATAAGGTCTATAATGAAGTTGGTAGAGAACGGTCACTGGTGATCACTGGAAATTAATCAGTAGACCCAGTTTTTTGTTGTTACTTGCCATAAACATAAAGTAAAAAAAAAAAGATTTTGATTAACATAGCCAAATGACATATAATTAATTACCAAAACTGTATTTACAAAACGCTATTTACACAAACTTTAGACCACAAACACAGTCGTGATAAAGCCGAATTGATCTCTCTCTTGTAAGCCGTCCTTGCGTATAATTGACTCTTCCCTGTCATTGGCTCTCCAATCCTCTCTAAGCTGATGTAGAGATCATATACTTGGAATATTTAGTGGTTACCTAATGTAATCGAGGATCAGTAGTCTTCTATTTTCGTATGAACAATATATTATATGGAATTTATTGGGTGAATTCATATTAAGGAGGTACTCATAGAAAATATGTCAGAATTGATTTGAATATAAGTGACTGTTCTTAACATAGAGGTTTCATTTGAAAATCTCTATTATCTGTACTAATCTAAGTCCTTGAAAAGCTATGGAAAACTATACGTACAATATAGGTATGTTTCTCAAATCTCCCACTTGGCAGACATGTTTAACAATATTATCCCAGAACTTAGGTATAAACAAAGTACTTTACTAGAATCACAACTAACAAACTATACTTATGTACTAGTTCCATATACACATAATATAAATATTAATCCAGACACGGACTAATAACTTAATATAGAAACAAGTAAAACTACACAACATAACATAATATAACATAACATCACGCCTTTTTATCCTCGAAGGAGTAGGCAGAGGTGCACATTTCGGCACTTAATGCCACTGTACAATGTAACACCCACTTTTCACTATTTTATGTTATGAGTCCCATGTAAGTGAGCCTATTGCCATATACCGGGCACATTTCCAGGCTCCGTGCTACTACTGAGATTTTTAAAAACCCAGTAATACTTTGCCCGACCCGGGTCGAACCCGAGAACCCTTACCATTCGCACTTGCGACCACTCGGCTAACGAGGCAGTCAGCGCAAGTCAGGCAGCGTAAAACTAGTTCACGAAAATATCTGTTATCCGTTGAACAGGTAACACCCGCCAGTTGCTTAGGTAACCGGTACCCATCGCCTAGTCAGTTATTAAGGAATAACTCCACGTTTACGGGCAATGGTTGTTGTTTCTAAACAACTTGTACTTTAACACAGTTTTTTATAGTCTCCCTGCTGTTAAGGCGGGAATAAATTTTTAATGGCAACATTTCCTTTTCTAATATGTCGTAATACCGGTTTAAGGGTATGTCCATGTAATTTTGTCCTGTAATCGGCTTCGTTATATTGGTAGTTGGATGAAGTTTGAGCTTTATAAAGGATGGGTACTGTTTAAATAGTAATCGTTTACTTTACAAATAAAACTTTCATAATATTTACTAGCGACTCGCCCCGGCTACACACGGGTGTAATATGCATGTAGTACACATATAAATCTTCCTTAAGAATCACTCTATCTATTAAAGAAAACCGCATCAAAACCCGTACCGTA